GGGGCAGGGCAGCAATTAATGGAACAGACCTGGTGTGTAAAATGAATGCTTTTCTTTTGGCTTGAAAAGCAAAAAGGGAAGGGAGGTCACTTACCCCCATTATTCTTGCCGTTGTAAATCCTAAGAATGTTAGCTCTCCACAACAGATGAAATGGAGAATTTCTGTAATCACAGATGAAATGACTGAGTTAAGCTGTTGGGCATCATATATTGACTTAGTCAGACTTTCATTAGGTATAACAGATGCTGGAGTAAACTTGTCAGGTGAGTATCTACAGCTAAAAGGATAAAGGAACTAGTAGGTATGTTTTTATAAATTTCTAGTGGCTTTATAACAGTGATTTATTGATACATTTGTTTTAAACCCTAGACAGGTAAAAAAGACTGTTGGTTTTTTTTCATTCACAAATACTAAATATATTTCCTTGCTTACAGCTAAAGGCAGCACATTTTTCACCTTTTTCTCACCATGCTTCTATCTGCCCACTCAGCATACTGGAAATGCTTTTATTAAGGTTTTACTTTGAGGAAAGGGAAAACCTTGATTTCTCTGCCTCATCTGAGCTCTCCTTTCTGTTAAATCAAACATAAGCTCCATGGTATTACTTCCAAGGACTTTCACATCTCATCACTTCTCATTCACTGTTGAGTGAGTGACACTTGGCTGCCAGTCATCTCAGAATGCCATCCTTGACTGCATAGGTAAGAGCACTTGATTTCGTGCTTGCTGCCTGTCATTCTTGGGATGAATTCTTCCTAAGTATTTGGTCAACATGTATTACCCTTCTTAAAGGATATCCACCTTTCTTAAAACACGTGTTTGCTATGATTTCAAAGACAAAGCAATAGCTCCTTATTTACTTTCCTTCCTCTGTCTGTATTCTTTGTTTATTTTATTCTGAGAATATAATCTCTCTTAACATTCCAAAGCAATGCATGGTTTTTGTAGATGAGAATTTTTCTCCAAATTTTCAGCTTTTACTAAAACTATTATTTACGAATAAAATGCCAAATTTATAATAGTTTAGGTTCTGGGAGTTCGTCAATGGCCAGTTTGTCTCCAGATGCTAGCAGAAGCTGCAGACAAATCTTAGTAAGGCTTCTGTATGTCATCCTGTAAACAGGAAGATTCTCTTGACTATCTTATGGGGATTAGTGAGGTAAGCCTTACAAAAATGAAAGACAAAACCCCAGATGTTTGTGGTGTTCTTTACAAAAACAATTAAGAACAAGGTGCTGTTTCTGAAAAGTATTGTATTTGCGTAGTGCATATGAAGAAGAATATGTTAAAAGAATCATTGTGTTGCATAAGTTTTTTATGAGATGTATTTGAAGGCAGAAATAGATTACGCATGTTGATTACATCGCTAGTAGAGAACAGGAAGAGTTGGGTACTGTTGAAACTAACAGTTTTTCTGGAAAAAAAAGCTTAAGTCCTGCAGGCTGACAGAAGGTATGGGCTTTCATTTGAAAGTGTGCCTGCCTTTGTCGTGGGTGATGCTGTCTACGAAAGACTCACACCTGTTTTGTCAAGTGTGACAAAGATTTTCTTCTCAGTGATGCTGGACTGTGTTTGGCCTCCAGAGCAGTAGCAGTGACCTCTTGCTTGAACAGCCAGCTTTCTACTGTTGTGTCACATCAAGTGCTGTGCTTCTCACAGGGCTTGCTAGTGGAATGTGCTAGTAGGCAATTCAGCTCCTAAATTGCTACTTGAGGTTAACCGAGTGATGACAGGCTTTGCTTGCAACGCAGCTCAAGTTCCTGGATGAAATGTGCTTGCTTGTGTTACTCAGGATAATTGTATTGCCTCGGGTCCGTCAAAACCCACAAGTCCTACCTAGTTCTTGGAGAGCGGATTTCCAGAAATAGCTGTAGAGCTTTCACCTTCTCAGCCTGTTAAAGAAGCTTACTTCTTTCACTGAATAGACATGTCACCTGTCTGTCCAGTATCAAAAGAATGAACTCTTGTCTCCAGCTGTTCAAACAAACCCTATCTTTGTTGGAGAAACTTGTGAATATGTTGCTGACAGGATGACACATCAGTCGTGTACTTTCTAAAGAGCACTTTCAGCCTGAAGTTCCTTTCAAGTTCATACTGCAGATTACAGCTTTATTTCCAGTTTGTCCTACTGAATGGTTGTTCTAGTTGCCATCTGTAGTAGCGTACAAAATTAGGTGATGAGTCCTTTATCATGTTCTGATCTCCAGTGGCCCAGTTTACTGTGTAGTCATCCACTGCAATGTGGTGCTGGGATGCCACGATTCACTCTCCTGGTGCTAAACGAAGCGATTTGCTCTACAGCGCCATGTTATCCAATAGCATTTTCTGCCAGAAAACAAATGGAGAGAATTGTTTTCTTCTGCATGCAGTCCTCGCATTGAAGTCTAAAGAGCAAAGAAAATGATATTAGTCTCTGACTAGGGAATTAGTATATGAGCAATGGCTGGGTGGCTAGTGAGGTAACGAGTGCTCATGCTGTAAGGTTAAAATATTTTAAATAATGACAGAATAATTCTAATCTTAAAATATTTCAGTAATTTAAAATAATTATTTCTTACTGTGGAGCACAATTCTGCTGTGCTTAACTCTGTTTTCCAGGTTCTTTCTGAAATGTTGCAAACTGTGATTATGTGCAGTATTCTTTGTAAATTTTCACTTGGATGATTAGTGCCTGCTGCTGGGAGATCGTGGGTAATAGAAGCAGTAGTAACACAGACTGTAAATTCTTCAGGTTTGCTCTCACTTATCTTCAGTGTTGGTTTTTTTTGTCCTCTCACAAATGATTCCAGAAAATTAAACTAGTAAAACTAAAGTGAAAATTCTTTGGAGAACAAGTCTGATGAGGAGCGGCTGAGGGAACTGGGGTTGTTTAGCCTGGAGAAGAGGAGGCTGAGGGGAGACCTCATCGCTCTCTACAACCACCTGAAAGGAGGTTGTGGCGAGGTGGGGGTCGGTCTCTTCTCCCAGGTAACAAGCGATAGGACGAGAGGAAATGGCCTCAAGTTGTGCCAGGGGAGGTTTAGATTGGACGTGAGGAAAAATTTCTTTACTGAAAGAGTGGTTAAACATTGTAGTGGGCATGGTGATTGCCCACATTGCAGACAGCATTTCAGTGGGAGAATAGCCTTCCTTCAGCTTGCTGATCGCATGGTTGACGGTTGGACTCGATGATCTTAGAGGTCTCTTCCAACGTTAATGATTCTATGATTCTATGATCTGCTAATGTGCAGAAACAGCATAGTATGAAATTGATAGGAAGTCTTACATTGTCTGATCTGTATTCTTAAATGCTGAAGACAGAAAGAAACTATTGTTCTTTCCATGTAAGCCTGCCTAATGTGGAGAATATTATGATAAATACAGTGTTTGTTTCAAACAGTTATTTTCAAAACAAATACAGTCTTTAAAAAAAAAATGCATTTTCTTAATTAAAAACTGTAGAGGCTAGGAGTTCTCAGAACCCATGCATCCATCTACCTGTTTTGTTCTAAGCTTACAGCATTTTCTGTTATCCTTTGGAGTTTTCACTGTGACTCAGATGCCCGAGAAGTGTTTGTACCTGTTTCAAATGTACCATTATTTAAAGGTGAAATTTCACTGGAAGTAAGGCTTTGGTCCTGCATCCCTTGAAACTGTACATGTTCTTTACGTTTTGAAGTAGGTGATCAAAGGTCTCCATCTGAAGCAGTCATGGAGTTTTTATTAGTTGAATAAAACTACCTATTCAGTATTAAGAGAAAGTAACTTCCATGATTCACTGTTGGTCACATCTGCTGATTTTTGGTTACTATTCAGTAGGAGGAAAGTGGTTGTTCAGTTGAATATTTTCTGTTGAAGAGGTAATATCTCACTAAATAATTGTTTTCAGGATTTCCCACCTAACAAAAAAATTACAGTAAAAGCCACAGTGCAATTTTGTACTTAATGTCATGTAATGATGACTGTTAGCTTCAGCAGACACCAAGAACCCATTGTGCCAAATGAGATTTGCTCAATGTATGGCGTGGAAAGCATTTTTTGTAGGCTGCTGATGCTGGTAGGCTGCGTGTGGATACAAAGAAGTATGGTTGGACTCGTATCCACGAGTATGCGTGTGGATACTGCAGGGTTACAAGCAATCACATACCAGCCGTTTTTCCTGTGGTTTCTTGTATTGGAACTATTCTCACTTAATAAACGTAATTTAAAGTAGTTTGGTAGGATGGTCCATTGCCCATATATGGCTTAGAGGTAAGAATTTGCATGATGGCATTTATTATGCGGTGGCTGATGTGGTAATTTGTACATTGTCTTTGGAACAAATGAACCAGTAGCTGGTAAATTTGTAGCTGAAGTTTGATGCACTCTCCTGGCCTTCTTGTCTGCCTGCTTATATGTTCTTGCAAACTAAATGCTGTGGAAAACACAACTTCTAAGCTACCCATGTTTTAAGATGTTTGTGCTTCTGCCACAAATGCCTCTGATTGGGAGATCTATCAAAACTGTGCAGATTCACTGTCAACAGTCTCTTCAACAAAGAGCTGACCAGTAAGGCTGGGGCTGAGTTGAGACATCTTACTGAACCAAGGAAAGACGTACAAGTGACAGGAAAAGACAGCGACCTGAAACAGGGCAGTCTACATGGAACCTGGTTTCATGTCATCATAATTTTGTAGAGTAGAAGTACTGATTCAAAATTCTGGGTCTTTTTAAAGTTACTGGTTAAAAACTCTAGCTAAAGAAATAGGTAAAGTGCAGGATCAATAAAGTATCAAAAGGGAACCATTGCAGACAGCATTTCAGTGGGAGAATAGCCTTCCTTCAGCTTGCTGATCGCTTTTCCAGCCCATAGTTTAAAATAAGTTCACAGAGATGTGGTGTGGATAAATCTTTAAAAAGAGGAAAAGGATGAGGGATCAGTTCTGGTTTCACAGAAATATGTACCAGTGCACACATCTGCACCAGGATTCAGACTGATTCCTTTTCATCTTTCACCATACCTATCCCTGTTGAATGCATCATGGTAGGACCTTACTCCTGCAAGAACTGGAGCTTAGAATATGTATAGTGATAGAAAGGAAGTAATTTTACTATGAAGAAGTCCAGTTATCTTTTACATTACACTTTTTCATAAGTAATCCATTTTATATTGATCTAATTAAAGCCTCTCAACACTTTATTTTCCATACCTGAGTAGAATTGGCAACATTTGAGTAATAAAAGTTCAAGGTAGCAAATCTATGAATTAATGTAGCCAATAGTTTGGGTTAATGCTTTTTGTATACTGTTTTTCTCTGTTTGATTGCAGGATGGACGCTTGACATTTTATCCAGGAAATCAGACTGTGGATTTGCCTTTCATAAATTTTATGAGAAGATACGGCACTGTCTTTCTCAATGCCTATACCAATTCTCCAATTTGTTGTCCTTCCCGTGCAGGTAGGACCAAGCAAAACGTCAGATAAATACTTGCACATGTCAGTTTAAATCTGTGGTAATGATGGGAAATTTCAAAGGATTTCATTTTGGGGGATTTGTTTTGCTTTTCATTAAGACCCAATTTTTTTAGCTTGTGTCTGAATTTATACAATATTCTCATGTTTGATCTGTTTCTCTTTTCTGTTTCTCATTCTTCCTTTCTTTTTTTTTTTTGTTCTTCTCTTTCCAGCTATGTGTGAGCTCCCAAATCTTTTTGCAAACTCTACTGAAGCTTCAATATTTTTAAAAAATCTTCAGGATTTGTAGAGAAATTGTCAGTTTGTCTGCTGCAGTGCTGAAGCTGCATTCAGAACCACTCTCCCTTCCCAATACAAAGTTAATAAATCTCTTCCCTGTTCTCAGGAAAAAGTATTAAATAATAACAGCTGAATAAATCGGTGGCTGTTAGCACTGCCTTCCGATGGCATTTATTCCAAACACTCTGTTAAATACATAATGTATCCTTCAGTAGCTTTAATTGAATGCTTCAGTATTTTTCTTTACTTGCTGTAATCATTGTCCTGTGTTCAATTTCATACTTGCAGAATTTGCTGGGAAGTTAGAAGGAAGCTATATTCTTGAATCAAAGGTTACATCTTAAAACATACCTAGCCCTTTCAGTTGTTGCAAAGACCCTCCAGAGGTGTTGTGAATGAAATTTCATCTATAGCGGAAAGGGAGATCCCCCTTTCTCTCAAGCATACATTGGAAGAAGCAACCTGTCCTGACTGCAGCAAGTGCAGGCTGTCAAATTTAGTGTTTAGTGTTTAGTATTGCATTTATTGATAACCTGGTCCTCTTTTCTGTTTCTCAAGGTCACATTTTAAGTGAGCGAGATTACATGAACATGCCATCAGTCTTGTTTTCTTTTTCTTGATTTTTGAGTCTTTCAGCTAGTCTTTGTTGCTGAGAACAATAACCTTGTGTTAGGTTATTTAATTTTAAGAAGTTTTGTGAACATAGCAGCTAGTGCTCCCAGTGAGAAAGAGGCTGCATGATGAATTCGAAATTCATCAGTTCTGTTTAGCATTTTAGGTGGTTCATCAACATCATCGTGACCGCTGGTCAGTCATCACAAGTGTAGCTCTGAACCAGCGGGACACCTCTTCTTTAGCTGGTAGCTTGGGGACCTGCAAGGAACTGAGGGTAGATCTTTTGTGGAGGTGTCAGGAATGATACTAGAAGAGATTGTGGGAAGGAGGACTTTGAGGTGGGGAAAGTAGGAGTATTGCCGTGGTGTGGGGTTTGGGTTGACACACTGTGCTTACAGGATATTTCCATTGCTTATAGAACAGCTTAGTTTCGTTTTAGGACTCCCTTTGACTCTAAATTGGCATTGGGAAGAGTGAGTGATTTTCGACAAGCTGCAAAGAAACACAGGAATTCGCTAATAAAAACTTTCCTTATAGCTCCTTTGCAACTCTTCCCTTGGTTTCATTTCCTCTTTAATCATCTTGCTTTGTTTCTACAGCTGGTAGTGAAGTAGATAAGTAGATAACCTAAAAACGATAAAACTGAGGGCCTATAGTATTTATAAAAACAATATAGTCTAATTCTCTCCGCAAACATACTTAGCTTTAAATTTACATTGAAATCTAGCTGAAGTAAGGGGAGATAATACTCTGGAAGTCATGTAAATACATGACTGTTTCATCAGGATCTGTACTACCACGGCATTTTCTTTCTGCAATCAATAAGAATATTCCCTGATCTACAGAATACCTTGATTTAATGATTGCATAGCACCTGTAAAGATGGGACCTTCTTCTGTGATTCTGGGAATTATTTTAGTAAATGTTGTTATTCGTATTGATGATGAAAATAAGATTTGGAAGAGTAATATTTTGTATTCCCTACTCTATTGGATCACAGTGTGGACTTTTTACCTCTAAAATAATGAGCAGATTTATCCCTTCTCAAGTATATTCAACTTACATTTAGATAGGAAGTACCACTTACTTGTCAAAAAATCTTTTTTTTTTCCCCCCCTCCTCCCAGCTATGTGGAGTGGTCTTTTCACTCATTTAACAGAATCTTGGAATAACTTCAAAGGTCTAGATCCAGATTATGTAACGTGGATGGATCTCATGGAGAAGTATGGCTACCACACACAGAAGTATGGGAAATTGGACTATACTTCTGGACATCATTCAGTAAGGTAATCAGATAGATTCTCCTGCTATGAAATGGACAGGAGTGAATAAATCATGTAATGGTCTGGCAAGTGGTTTCTGTCTCTGATTGAAATGTAGTAGCTTTAATTTAAAAGAAATTGTGTTAGGAACCTAGCAGGGGTCAGTCCTGCAGCTTTATGCAGAAGCAAGCATATCCCATGCAGATGCACTTTGGCTTTCACCTGTAGCTGGGAAGTGAATATCAAGACTGTGGTTTTGCCCAACATGAACGAAGGTTATTTTTGATCATTGGCATTGCTCCCTAAATGAAATTCATAAACCGTTTTTGTCTTGCCTTGAGACTTTCTGGCTTGATTATACTAGCAGTGTAGGAAAAGCAGAATAAAGAAACATATTTGATAATACTTGAATATTAAATCTACCATCACAAAACTGAGGTGTTTTGGGTTCTTTTTGAAGGCCATATGTTTTCACAGGCTTGTGCTGTACTTCCTAAAAGCTTCTTTTTTTAAAAAATGTGACTAGAATTACAGCAGTTTATAAAAAAGACTTAAACATTTAGAGACTAACTTTATTATGTTCAAAAAATAATAAGCATAATGTGTTTGGACAGTTGGGACAAAATATGGTGTCTTCCTTCTGTGTAGTTTTTATGAAGATGCACTGTCTCCCTGATTAATTATGATGTCTGTTGTTGAAATAATAATAAAGAGTAGCTTTTTCTTTGGTATTAAACAGGTTATAGTTACTTAAAATTTCCTCACTTCCCTCACTAAAATGAGCAATCAGAATTTGAAAGGTCGCATTAGTAGTTAATAGTATGTTGCACGTACACACTGCTTTTTATCTACAAAATACTTTATAAATAGTATCCACTTCAGAATCTGGCCAAGTAATAATTTCCTCTCCAGTTTAAGACTGTCAGAAAAGAAAAGAAAGCTTTTTTCCCTTTTTTCCATATACCAGTTCTACACTGGAAGTAAAAGATTATTCAAATAGAGACTTATACCAAAACCTTCATGTTTACTTAACTTTGCCAGACAGTGTGCATATTTGTGTACTACTGATGCTTCTCTCTTGTCTCTGCAGCTCTTCTTAGTAACTTAGCATCTAACTATGAACAGATGGGTGTTCAACCTCTCTTCTTTTGATTTTTTTTTTCCCCGAAGACTACATTACTCTGCATTATTCTTACAACTTTTTTGTTTTTTTCCAGTAAGAAACAACTATTTGTACAAAGTACTAAAAAGTCATCTGCTATAGTATTATTCTGATTCTTTGTGCGTGATTATATGAATGTTGGGAAAATTTCCTCTCTGGCAAGAAACAGCTGAACGTTAAGATGAATGCTTACAGAAGTTTGTATTACTGTAGTGTAGAGATGATTTGTTGTGACTGCCTCAGGCATTCATGCTATTGAAAAGAGCATGGTCTTAACAGCATACTGTAAAGTGCCAGTAACAGACCATTCTTTGAGAAAGCAAAGGGTCAGATTTTGTTCTATGTAATGAAGCAAGACAGAAATGATTCTGTGAATGCATCATTCTTAAGCATTTCTAGAATAGATTTTCAGTAAATTAAAATTACTCTGAAAAAAGAAAATTATCTGCAGTATTATACAGACCCTTACACTCTTCTTCTGAATCACTTTTGTGCAGAGAAAATTCTGTTGTCTAAATAGTATGCAGTATGCACTCACCCTGCCCTTCACTGAGATAGAAGAAATGTTTCATAACATTGAAATCTGTTTCTCTCTAACCTAAAGTCACTCCAGGTATAAAGAAGAGCAGCTCTAAGTAATTCCAGAAGTTCCTGGCTGTTCATATGATAACTGGAACACAAAGGTGGCACTGAAAAAAAGGCTGGTTGCATATAAATGTCTGGATTCCAGAAGTCTTTTGCTCATTTGCCTGAGCTGAAGACCGTAGGTGAATTCTGGCTTCACTACAAAGGCCTTCACATGGGGAGTGCAAAGCTGAACAAACAGATAGTCCTTAGTTCTCAAATGAATTTTATTGTGTAGGAATTAATGCAAAGAAAACCTTAATGTGAGACTATATAGAAGAGGGACATAATTTTTATGTTGCTTAACTTTCTAAGTTGGTAAACTCTGCCAACTCACAATCTCATACCCACGAACATACTCACAAATACTAGGGTTTGCGTTCCAGTAGTCTGAACAGAAATCCTGGCATGTGATAGGGCAAGGGATGTCATCTGATGTCTTCTTCCCTATTTTTCTGTTGACTGGCAATGATGAAATGGCATTTTGCATAGGTATTTTACACTCTTTAGGAGTGAAACATTGCTATGGTGTGATACTTTGCCTTGAAATCTTGCTGGCTTCAGTCTTCAGGAACATTAGGCAAATAGCCTCTTTCTTTCCTTATTGTGGCTATCTTATTGTATTCTGTTTTTCTGTTGGAATAACAGGAAGAGGCACACAGAGTGCACAATGACCTGGTTGCCACCCTGCTCTCAGGATGCTGCTGACAAGTCATCTGTACAGTGTTCTTCACACTGACAGCCCCTTCTTCAGTACTGACCTGTTTTGCTGATGGCATTCATGTTCTTGGCTATCGATGCACGCCACTGCTTTAACCTTGCTCTCGTATTTATTTTGTCTGGTACTCTCACATTTTAATGGTTCTGTTGATACTGTTCTAAATATTTTTGTTACGAGTCTCCACAGATGAGAAATAAATTAAGACAATTCAGGGTTTTGCAAAACTGTAGCAGCACCAGTATCAGTGGAGTTACAATCATGTACTCTGATTTTTCTCATTCTGCCATGTACAGATTCATCTACTTTAGTGGTAGGGTTGGAGTCTCACAAACAGAAATTACGTTGTAACCATATAATCACATCACGTTTGCATAGCTCTTGGTCCCATGAGGCCGAATTCTTAGGCACTTCAAAGATACCATAGACTTCACAGTATTCTTCTGTTGTTGCCGTTTGTAATTATCTTTTGTCCTATGCCCTTACCCTGCATTTTCACCTGGTGCAAATTTTTGATACATTTTTTCTAATTTTCCCTTCAGTGAGAATTTGAGATCTGTACTTAACAGGATCAAGCCCTTACTGTTATTTGAGTAAATGTGGGTGGCGGTTGAGAATAAATGAAAATAAACACATGGTTAGTCAGCCTTTCTATGCCTACACAAGAGGAATTTGAAAATGGCAGTTTACACAGTTTTTAATTTAAAAAATGAAAACTCTAAATACAATTCCTGAGTCAGAGAAAAATGAACATCTTGTTCCTAGCATGGCATCTTTGTAGACATTTAAAAACCCTAAGTAGCCAATTAAGTAATCTATAAATAGTGTAGAAGAGTTATAACAAAGGTTTCTGTTCCTTGTGGAGATAATTAAAATGTCCTGCTGTTTTAATTGCTTGTTAAAAAGGAGACTAGCAAAGGGATATAGAACAGTTCAGCTAGCGCAAGATGAGTAGTAGATTCAATGGAGATGAGCTTGTTCCAAAGAAACGGATTTGACAGGACACAGCAGGCAGTATTATTTCTTTAGAAACTTTTCTTAAGCATATATGTTCTTTCTTTAAACAACAAAAACACCACTGCTCCCTGATGCCATATTTACCTGATAAAAAAAGAATTGTTAACTTTTCTGTTGCAATACTTGTGTGACATAAAGTGATACTGCTTTGTCCTGACCTATTCCAAATAGTGCATTGCTAACACAAGTCATCTCTCTAGATACGGACGTTTATGTATCTTAAAAATACAAATACATAGTGAAATATACTAAGTATCCATTTGAATGTGACTTGCTCATAAGATAATTACTCATAGCTGTGAATTAATGAGATTTGAGGAAGAGGGCTTCTAGGAAGTGCATACAAAGAAATATATACTAACATAGAGCTGAATCTTCAGCCTCTGGACTGTTGAATACGTGAAGGCTCTGCTTCCTGTCAAAAAGACTCCATGTGTCCTTTTGAATGTGGGTGGCCATCTTCAATTAAAATTTAAAACAGGTGTAGTTACTGACTGTCATGTAATTACTTTCACTTGGGTTAATAATGATGGTAGTTCATTAAGCTTTATCTTCAATGTTGCATTGTTGTATTCCCATCCTTTATTTATCGGCTTTTTTTCCATTGTGTGTTTCTTAAATCGCTGGAGTACTATCTGCTAGGAAAGGAGATATGATCCCCCTTCATTCCCATTGAAAGTGTTGAAAATTGGAATTACTTTCTGAAGCCTTTAAATAATTATCTGTCCTTGCTCTTTCCTTTTAAATTCAAGGTTTCAATCTAGTATTGCCCCCTTTTTCAACTCTCCACCTGACCTTTTAAAGATTCTTACTTTGGCATATCTTTTCCTCCTCTTCTGCCTGAAGATTAGTTTTCATAGAATCATAGAATGATTTGGGTTGGAAGGGACCTTAAAGATCATCTAGTTCACCCTCCCTGCCGTGGGCAGGGACACCTTCTACTAGACCAGGTTGCTCAAAGCCCCGTCTAATCTGGCCTTGAACATTTCCTGGGCTGGGGGACCCACAACTGC